GGTCGCGAAATGCTGCTCATGAATCACTGCTCACCAACTACACTTGCTCCATATTTTATCCCGATCCCTACAGCCGTTTTGACGTGACTGAGTAACAAACACACACACAAACACGCAAACATAGAAAGTCACAAACTTCCGCATTTATAATATTAGTAAGATTACTTAGTCTCAGATTCGATTTATTGTACGACCGAAGCGCTATTTATAACATAACATAATATCACGCCTTTTATCCCCGAAATGGTAGGCAGAGGTGCACATTACGGCACCTAATGCCACTGTACAATGTAACACCCACTTTAAAATATGTATTTATGTTATGAGTCCCATGTAATAGGTGGTGAGTCTATTGCCATACATATAACCGGGCACAATACCAGACTTCGTGCTACTACTGAGATTTTTTTTAAAACCCAGTAGCACTTTGCCCGCCCCGGGAATCGAACCCGAGACCCCATACCCGGCAGTCGCAATGCGACCACTCGGCCAACGAGACAGCCATTATTAGGCGTTATTTATACTTATACCCGAAATCTAGAATTAATTAGCAATTACACATTTCATAATGTGTACACGATGAGACAATAAATTCATAAATTATACTATCACAATTATCATTCACATATTACATTTTAATAATATTTATAATCATGGGAATCATATAAAGTTGCTATGACTGTAATCAAATAATTATACGTATTATCAATGATAACGCACATTTCTTGGTAAATATTAAATTGATTATGTTAGAAATCCGCTTTCGCCTGAATTTAATTGGGAAATCACGAGTTATCATATCAATTTTTAGAATCGTACACCATATGATGTGTATGTACCTACTTTTAAGTAAAACTCAATACTCACACATTCAAACTTTATTATAAAACGGTATTCTATAAGAAAAACAGCGTAATTCTCGTCAAACTTCCAACTCGAATGGACGTTACAACTCTTTGCGCGGGAAACTTTATTATTCTGTCACATTTGACAGATGACATCATCAACTTGACAGCTAGTGCTGTCGATAAAACAGATTAAACTAGTGACGTTCTTTTAGATGATTTTCGTCGACTAATACTAGGTAATGTTTTACAATCGATTTGCTTACCATCGATTCGATTAAATCTTTACGTGACAATTTCTTTACTCTCCCCACGGCTGTCGTGAAAGGGGTCTATCTAAGGGACTATACCCTAGCTACTTCCGCGCGTTTTGATCCGCTCTGCTTGCCTTCTATTGATCGTAGTGTAATGTTTTATAGCCTTCCTCAATAAATAGACTATCCAACACAAAAATAATTATTTAAATCGGACCACAAGTTTCAGAGATTGGCGTATTCAAACAAACAAACGAACGAACAAACAAACATACTCTTCAGCTTTATATAATAAGGTATAAGATTTTATAACACAGATAAACCGGATCCTTTTAAACCAGAATCTCAAACCTCCTTGTCAAGTGTGGAAATTGACAAACTCTTGTGGAGCTTTCAGGTCATATCCTAGCCGCTTTTAAGTGTGAGGAGCTATGTTTCGGCACGAATGGGCCGGCTAGACGGGAGTGACACCACGGCCTCACTGAAAACCGACGTGACATAACGCTTAACGTTATGTTTTGTCGTAAGTAAGTTTACCGCAGGCCCAATTATCCCCCCTACTTCCCCAATTTCCGTAATCTCTGAAGCCCCAACTATCCTCAAATTCCTCGTCTTTAAAAGGACGGTAACGCATACGTAACACCTCTGGTGTTCCAGGTGTCCATAGGCGACGCAGATTGTTTACCATCATGTGAACCGTGTGCTCGTTTACCGGCTTATCCCATAAATTAATACAAAAAATATGATGATTGCGGCAAATTTTTATAAGGAGCTTTAAGGACTAACTTAAAATTCTAATTATAGAAGGTAGTTTAGTCTAAATAGATAATTTATTAATGCTACTGACAGTAAGTAAATAGGTGGTTCTCTAACACTCAATAGATTCGATTATCAAGCTAGATACGTAGATAGTTGTAATCTAATCGAGCTTTTGGTAATCGATTCGAAAAAGATATCGTATTGATTAGTTACAAACAACGGACACTTGTATCAGGGCGTAAACAATAACTTTGAGAACATTTTGATTTTAGAATTATTTAACAAATGATGACAAGTGCAAGTGAAGATGTGAGTACCATTTTATCTTCTTGGTATTTTATATTTTTACTATACTGATATAGTTATAATAATATTATTATTATTTAATATTTAATTTAATATTTAATTTAATATTATTATTTTTCTAATAGGTTAAGCAAAGGTTGCTGAGGTTGGTTTGTAGATGGGTGAGCATTCATTGACATTCATCCACAGTAAATTCTCACTGTGGATGAATGTCATAGGCTATCCAGTCTATACAGTGGTCGAACTCGACCATATTTTCTTATGTCGTCAAGTTATTGTTGTCTTGTTAATATTTTCGGTGGATAAATATAACTGCCTCGTTGTCCGAGTGGTCGTGTGCGACATCTAGGCAACTCTCAGCTTCTTATTCCCGAGTCGGACAAAGTATTACTGGGTTTTAAAAAAACTCTGGAGTAGCACGTAGTCTGGAATCGAGCACCGGTATATGGCAACAGCCTCGCCCCAATTACATGGGACTCATAATGTAAATAGTGAAAAGTGGGCGTTACATTGTACAGTGGTAATGCCGTAATGTGTACCTCTGTCCACCCCTCCGGGGATAAAAGGCGTGATGTTTATGTTAAATATTATTAGTTTTCATTGCTAGACTTATAAACTCGAGTAGTTTCCAAATTAATGTTTAAAAATAGGTTAACAAATTTAAAAATTAAATAGATACTAAATAACAAGTTTATTAATATTAAATAAATAATTTGATATTAATAAGTACAAAGTATGATTTCTTTAAACATTTATATTTGATCAAACACAGAACAGTCTCAAGTTATGTCCTAAAGGCATTTACTTAAGCACTAACGTTATATCCAAAGTCTAGGTTTTCTAGGTCGACCTAGGAATATAATTAGGTATATAATTTATTTTCTAGCTTTCGTCATACTTGTGTGTAATTTAGGTACTCTTGTTTGCGTTATTTTGGTCTTCTATATCTTAGGTAACGAATACAGTAACCTATTTATGTTATCAGGGAGTTTCCAATAAATCTAATTCAACTATTATCTATGTATCTATCTAGATTTACAATAAGATATAAAAAAAACGACAGACAAATAAGTATGTTAATTCTTTCAACCTGCTTATCAAGCGAAGTGATGACAAGAGGTAAAGCAGTGAATGTTAATGATGTGTATGTTAGGATAGGTTATACTATAGAAACATGAATTGAGATGGTGACAGGGTATGGAAATTAAAAATCGAATTAGTCCGTCAGTAAGTTAATGAAAAAATATTAGACACGTATTTTATTATTTTGTCGTATAATAAAACAATACTTAGATATAACGAATCAAAGTTAAGGAGTGGGGGCTAAAAAGTCATTTCTACGTATAAAATGTACATAGAAGTGACGTCACGCGACATTTCAAATCAATATATCGTCGAAAGTATTCGTTTATGTGAGAATAGGTACAAAAAATACGTGTCTAATGATTTAAAATAATCTACTAGACGGACATTAAAATAAAAATTAGGCATCTACCCTATTATCATAATTCGCCCAGTTAGGAACATATTTCACATAGTTACGACGATCTGTGGTCGGGTTCCCATGCGTCATGTTATGCATGGAATTCCCATAGTTCGCTGTTCACATACTCAAATACCTCTGCCTACCACCATACATACGTACATAACCTAACGCCTGTGTCCCATAGGGGTTTTTAAGTAAGGAGGGAAAATCATCGAATGTCTGCTCCCGCCTGTGTGAGGCGGGAGGGAGTGTCAGACTCTTACTGACTAAAAATCACACCGTTCCTTCTCCTACACGTCGAGCCCCGGTAACCCGTCCCATGGGGGTAGACAGAGATTATGGAATGCCAATAGCTACGATTTTTACATAGCTCTTTCGCTTCATCACCATGCAGTCATCAATCTTTTCATGCATGCTCGTCAGTTAAGGGGTCTGTCCACCACCACATAGTTTAAAAATCATCACATAGTTTCCCCTGTCTGTCCCTATTTATGCTTAGATCTTTAAAACTGCGCAACGAAATTTGATGCGGTTTTTTGAATAGTTAGAGTGATGAACAAGGTTTATAAGCATGTATAATTAAAAATACGTCCTTTTTTTCATTATCTACTCTTTCTATTCACGCAGACAGTATTTCTTACTCTTTGAATAAGGAATTAAAAGTTTATTTTTATTTTTTATTTATTTTATATGCTAATTGCTTGCTACCACTTGCCAAGCAAGCAAATAGCAAACCCCTCTTGTCTACGTCGACCAGCAGGTCGATCTATTCTTTCCTACACTACTATTACATCTTCAATTTTATTGTATTGACATAAAGTCGAAAATTTAATGAATAATTTGACAGATTGGAGTAGGTCACATCTTTTAGCCATATTCCTTTCCTTTCGTATTCCTTTTTAAAAAGCTGGCAACGCACCTGTGATGCTCTGGTGGTGCGGGTGTCCATGGGCAGCGCTGACCGCTTACCATCAGGGGATCCGTCTGCTCGTTTTCCTCCTATACCGTAAAAAAGGTAGATCGACTGTGCTGGCTATTGTACCTAGAGAAGACCTTCAGAGTCCAGTTGGCACTAGACTCTTACGGGCCGTTGATAACGATCTATGCGCTCAAGTAGGCATCTAATTGTTTCTGTAAGCACCACAATTCACAAGTATGGGTCACATACTACATAGTACCGGTACTCACATACCATAAGTATGTTGATGTGACCTTAAAAGGCCGCCACAACACTAGCACATCGTGTTTTTAGAAAGTTATTCCTATCTCTCTCACGCCTTGTGTCACCAGCATCTTCTATCCCACTCTACACGTACGATCTCAGATCCATTCAGGTTCACTTTAGTTCTACGCAAGATGCGTTTGAGTGTATAGTGTTTAAATACCATAAATAGTGAAATTGTGATAAATAAAGGATATATAATGGAAAACGTAAGTATAAATGTAAGTTTAAATACCTATGTATTATTGAACGTATTAAATAATAATGAACCTTCTCACGAAGCAATAGAACTTAATATAGTTAACTTAAATTAGTATGTAAACATCGGTACTTAATCTAAACATAAGTAAATACTTAGAAAATAATTATGTAAGCTATTTAACTCGATTTCCAAAATACTAATTGCCAAAATCAGTCATTTTCAACAAATAAGTACTTAGCTCAATAAATAATCTAAACCAGAAAAGAAGTAGGTACCTACTTTTAAGATAACATGCTGCATAAAACAATTATAACGCACATTACGTACGGTACATAATCAAATTATTAATTAGGTATATCTGTAAATAAACCCTTAACCGAAGTGCATGAAAAGACTGATGACTGTCGACTACTGTTGAGGAAGCGAAAGGGGTTTGTAAGAATCGTAGCGATTGGTGTTCCATAGTGTCTGTTTACCCCCATGGGAGATATTTATATATATATGTATAGATTATTATATATATATATATGTAATTGTAAATAATTCTTAGGTTCTGTTATATACTCGAATTAAAAAAGTTAGGGTAGTAGGAGCTCATAGAACAACGACCATACAGCCCAATAAGTACCTACTTATGTCTATAGCCTGACGTCACAGACAAACCAATTTATTAATATCTACATAACATAAACATAACATCACGGCTTTTTATCCACAAAGGGGTAGGCAAAGGTGCACAATACGGCACTGCCACTGTACAATGTGGCACCCGCTTTTCACTTTTATGTGGGCTCATACCCCATGTAATAGGGGGAGAGCCAATTGCCATATACCGGGCATAATTCCAGACTCTGTGTTATTACTGAGATTTTTTTTTAAAAACCCAGTACCTAATACTTTGCCCGACTCGGGAATCGAACTCGAGACCCCTTTCCCGGCAGTCGCAATTGAGGTCTGAATTGCGACTGCCGGGCAAGGGGTCTCGACTCAGCCAACGAAGCAGTTATTAATTTCTAATTTTACGATAATGTCTAAAAATCTGTACCTACATTTTATTCCAGGATGCACAAAAACCCGACGAAGGTAAAGAGGAAGCTTTAAATAATAACATAGTACATAAAGAAAAACATACAGACGACGTCCAAAAAGAAAAAGAAGTACAAATAATTCCAAATAAGTTTAAAAGGAGATTTGAAAATTCATTTACAAATATATTTTTTCTCGTTTGTATAACTGGGATCTCGTTAGGCATACTGTTAGAGATTGTCAACGTTGTCAGACGAAATCAAAAACCCGAAGCCGCAATTGCAACAGATAAAGCAAGCAATCTAAATCCAAAATATTGGATGTACCCAAACACTAAGGCAATAAATAGCAGAGACGATTTTCTGAAACACGTGCATGTGGTCCTTGAAAGAGTGGGATACGAGAAAAGTACAAATGAAACGCCCTGGGACCTGTTATGGTCACATCCCAACCCATTTATTGACATCAATCTAAAGAAATTAAGTGGCAATCAGAAAGTAAACCACTTCCCAGGCACGGGGTTCATTACCTGTAAAGTCGAGTTGGCAACATCTCAATCAGATTTTATACCTAAAGCTTTCAGATTACCAAACGACAAAGATGACTTCTTGAAGTACGCTGAGAATAACAAAGACGCATTATTTGTACAAAAACACAACAATCATAGAAATGTACATTTAAAAAACGTGACTGAGATTGACTTGTCTAATAACAAGACTTTTGTTCAAGAATTTATTCAAAGACCGTTCTTAGTGGACGGACATAAGTTCGATATTGGCGTGTATGTGGTGCTGGAGTCTGTGAATCCTCTCAGAGTTTATTGGTACAAGGGCGACATACTATTCAGGTAATGGGTTACTTCATCAACGGGTAACGTGTATGTTGATTTATTAAGAAAATCAATCAATCTTGCAATTTTCACCTTGCAGATTCTGTCCGACGAAGTACTACCCATTTGATCCAAGTAATGTGGATAAATATGTGATAGGTGACGACTATTTGCCCACTTGGGAGGTGCCCTCTCTGGCACACCCCTACACAGCACTAGGCAATACTATGAAGGAAACCTTCGACATCTATGCCAGATCTGTAGTAAGTGACTACACCGTAGACATATCAGTACAAAATGGACACAGACGGCTACAGCTAAAATTTTAATATGTTGCAGGGCAAAGATACTACCAAAATGTGGCAGGATGTCCAGGCAGCTATAACCGAGATATTTATTATGAAAGAATCGATCATCGATAACCATGTGAGTGTTATCAGTGTAGTAAGCACCAACCTTATAAATATCAAGTAATCTTACACAACTGATGTATTACCTTACTCACGTGAACAAATTGAGAAAAACTCTACCAGATTCAAGTCACAACGGGGCTCATAATCGCGCAGTCAACTTGACAATTTAATTAACTAGACGTTCAAATAATGTAGTATGTTTCACGATAGTTAATTACATTACTACTGTTTCAGTTCAAGGCATACTCGTCGCCAGAAAACTTCTTCGAAATGATGAGGTTCGACTTGATCGTCGATGAAAATTTGAAAGTGTATCTACTGGAGGCCAACATGGGACCAAACCTAAGTTCTAAACATTTCCCACCAAACCAGCTGCTGTATGAACAAGTGTTGTATAATTTGTTCTCGCTAACTGGTGTCGCACAGGCGAAGGTCGCTGTTAATGCTGCGGACAAAGGGTAAATACCATAAGTCTTCAGTGGAACAAACGAATGCGCCATTTCATCTATCTCTTCTAAATTTTAAGAAACACCTAATCTAAGATAGGCGACATTTAACGACATTTTGGTTTTCATCCTTACTTATTATATTATAAATCGGAAAGTGAGTTTGTTTGTTCCACTTTAACGCCGTAAGTACTAAACCGATTGCTTTGAATTTTTGCAAATGTATAGTTAGAAGTCCGGATTAAATAATAGGGTACTTTTTATCCCGGAAACATTTGATATTCTCGAGGGAAAACAAAAGTATTGGTATAGATGGCGTTGTGTGTATTGGTTTATGTTACATTGGCTTTTTATCCTTTTGTGACGCGAGCGAAGCCGCGGGTAAAAGCTAGTCAACCTATAAGTGATACCTAAGTACGGGGTTAGGTAGGTTAGGTGCTACGTCACGCTACGTACCCTTTAGTTACTAAGTAGCTAAGAGTCACTTTGTGGTCGTTGGTGATAACTGTCATTGAGAGGTAACTTCAGCAATAATTAATTTAATAAAAAACACTTTCAGTGAAACAAAAGCTGCAGAAGACATGGTATCAGCTGAGAAGAACATAGCGGTATATGGAGACGAGTGCAGGACTCTCTGTAAAGACAGCTGTGAAGTTTCGGATCTGTGTCGTCTGTGCAAACCGTGCCTTACAGCCAAGCTGAAGAAGACCTTGTTGGCTGCATACAGAGAGTTCTTACATAGGGGAGACTTTAGAAGGCTTATTCCACCGCCTATGGTCCCCAATCAGGTACATTTTGCAACTCTATCTATTCAACATTACATCCCGCCTTTTATCCCAGAAGGGGGCAGAGGTGCACATTACGACACTTAATACCACTGTACAATGTATAACACCCATTTTTCACTATTTATCTTATGAGTCCCATGTAATAGGGGGAGAGCGTATTGCCATATACCGGACGTAATTGCCGACTCCGAGCTAATATTGAGAATTGTATTTTGAAAAACCCAGTAATACTTTGCCCGACCCGGGAATTGAACCCGAAACCCCTTGCCCGGTAGTCGCACTTACGACCATTCGGCACCTTTACCGAATGGTCGTAAGTGCGACCGAGTGCGAGAGGAGTCTCTCTATCTATTTAACTAAACTATAATATTGTAGCTACAAAAATGTTTTGTTGCAGGACATAAAAGCTGTATTAGAGAAAGTCAAAGATCTGTCATTGAACAACAAACTCCTACACTTGTGGTATCAGGGGAAGTGTAACCAAGACTTGACGTGGTGCTTGTAATAAAGATTTATACTAAACCTAAGTACCTAACTTATTTAAACTTTGTGTTATTATTGTTATTACTACCCTACTTCCTACTAATATTCTAAATGCGTAAGTTTGTGAGAATGTACGTGTTTGTGTTTGTTACTGTTTCACGGCTGAAGGGATCGCGGGAACGGGATAAAATTTGAAACAGGGGTAGATAATGGTCTAGAATACCCCATGGCAAAGGGATATCCTACGGGAACGCGGGTGAAGCTGCTGACAGAAGCCATATAGTACACTAGCTACTTCCGCGCGGCTTCACACGCTCTGCTCAGCTCCTATTGGTCGTAGCGTGATGTTTTATAGCCTATAGCCGTCCTCGATTAGCGCGTTCAAATAAACAAAAAACAAACTCTTCCGCTTTATATAATAGTATAAGATAAGATATAAAATAATATTCACCTCAGTCATGGTTCACGTATCACTGCGAGATCCGCCCTCAGGACACGGTGGAACACACGGTAGGCGCATGCCATGCGTGGGTTGAGCAACGCCGTGCCCTCAGGGATGTGATCGGGGACGACGACCTCTCACGTCCGGCCCTAGTCCGGGACATGATGTGGAGGACTGGTATGCCGTCTCCTCCTTTTGCGAAGCAGTCATACTAGCTAAGGAGGAGGTGGGGCGCTTTAGGCAGCTAAGTACTGCCTCCTCACAACCCAGCCGTAGCGAAGGACATTCCGGGCATCGGGGATTGCGATACGATATCTGGCCAAAGCACGGGCCTGCGGACGGCGAGCATCTTCCCGCCTCACACAGGCGGGAGAAGTCATTCGATGATTTTCCCCTCTTAAAAAAAGTCATGGTCAAAGAAAAATTCAAACTATTTATTTTTAAGACCAATAGGGCAATTTCGGAAATCATTTTAATAGGTGAATATTAAATATTGTTTATCTATCGGACTATCGGTCCGTCCCTTTAGAGAAGCTAAGTAGGGTATTTAGGGCCGATCTCCAGTCGCCAGAAGCTATTTTTATTTCGGGTCGGATAAACCCGTATTAAAACCGAAAAACTTCTATCTACTTAGGTACGTACCTAAAATATTTTTTAGAGACAAATCGAAGATTAGCCCTTTCGCAGCTACATGGTAAAAATATGCGCAACTGTCTAAGTAGGTAGGTAGTTTTATAGGTATATTTTAAGTACCTATTCAAATAAAATCTTAGCCCCCTGGTAATCGCAGGACCTCATCGGGATACATCAAGAGGATACCTGCCGGTATGCACCGACACCCAGAGCCGGACTCCTTTTAAAAATGCTTTTTTAAGGTGGGAAAATCATCGAATGACTGCTCCCGCCTGGGCGAGGCGGGAGGGAGTGTCAGACTCTTACTCACTAAAAACAACCCCGTTCCTTCTCCTGCACGTCGAGCCGGAGCCCCGGTTACCCGTTAGGTTCTCCAAGGCTAGGTGCAACTAATTACATACCAACGTAAAAAGTCGCGACATCGATAACAAGTCACAGCAAAAACAGATAGCTAAGTGATGATGATGATGATGATGGTGATGATGATGAATAGGGTAGATGACTAATTTATATTTTAATGTCCGTCTGGTAGATTATTTAAAAAAATTAGACACGTATTTTTTTTCTCACGGAAATGATAAATTTCGAATATATTGATTTGAAATATCGCATGACGTCAATTTTGAGTACCATTTACTTATGACGTAGCTTCCTCCCACTCCTAAACTTGATTCGTTTTATCTGAGTATTGTTTTCTTATTAGACAAAATAAAAAAATACATGTTTAATATTTTTTCATTCTGACGGACTAATTAGATTTCTAATTTTCATACCCTGTCATCACACCTATTGTAACCTTTATCGTTTTTGTGATTACATTGAAAATCTATTCATATTTGTCAGCGATTTGTTTACTACAAATGCAATAGTTATTACTGTTAAGACTCCTAAAGCTGATATTGAACATATTCGTATATGGAGCTGTACATACATAGGTGGATGATGGGTGCACAGACCAGGAAAATACTTGAATGTATAATGTATGTGTGTAGTTATCTAAATAATATATTTTAAGAAAAATAAAACAAAGCATATTAAATATTGAACATTATTTTATTACAATTAAAAAATTACACAGTTAAAATGTACAATAATAGTTTATTGGACCATTGATTGGAGTAAACCTAGTATGTAACTACCTAGATCCTCATCCTGATTGGTCCAGGAGACATATATATTTTTAGTACTATCCTCTTCACCTTCAACTTTAATTAGTACAGATTCAACAGATATGTTGGCCTCTGATATCGTAATTGTCCATCCCTCCAACTTTTCTGATAGCAAAGTTTTCAATTTCTCAGCGGTTTTAACAGATGGACCAGGATCTTCAAAGCGGACTGTACTAGTGAATCTAATTATATGTCTGTTGATACCAATCTCATCACACATCTCATCAATATCAAGAAGAGATAGTCTGTTATCCCGTACACACAATATGCCATTAACTACACGCCGTCTCTTTGGATCTGGAGGTTGCGCATTGTAGCGAACAGCCTCTGCCTTCAACAACCTCAAAGATACATCTATAGGAATCTTAGTCGGTGTATTAATAGTACATGTTTCTCCATTGGCAGGCATGTAACAATTAATCTTAAACTCTTTCTCAATTTTATCTTTCAAAAACTCCATTTTCTGAGCTTCACCATGTACCAACAAAACATTCTTAGGTTCGCAGTACTGTATGAGTTGCATGATCCCTTTAGCATCTGCATGAGCTGAGAATGACATGTATTCTACAGCCATTTTCACTTCCACCACTTGGCGGTTCTCAAATTCAACCTTTTTAGCACCATTTAAAATCTTGTGACCAACTGTGCCTTGTACACAAAATCCTGGCATTATCACCATATTTTGTTCATAAGGTGCCCACTTTTTAAATATATTTAAGGACAAACCAGCGTGCAACATTCCAGGGGTAGCGAATACAACCATGGCTCCAGGGTTGTCAATGTAGGACTTGTCAAAAGGTTTGATGTGTTTAAAGTCAAACATGTTTCTTTGTACAAAGGTCTTCCTAATCTTCTGATTAGTCCAAGTTATAAACATCTTGTAGTAGTTGTTTGCTTTCTCTGTTAATCCAAGTGCAAAATAAACTGGATATTTTAAATTCATTCTTTCCCAGTATGTTTCTAACAGAATACAGAGCTCTTGTGCTCTCCCTAGAGCAAATACAGGAATAAGAACTTTGCCACCTTTCTCAACACATTCATGGACCTTCTTCAAGAAGTCTCTTTCTCTGCAGCGCTTGGAATCTCTGATAGTAGTAGCATAAGTTGATTCTGTAATGAGTAGGTCTGGCCTACACTTATCTATCCAGGCAGCTCCTAGATGCCTGTCAGGAGTCATATTGTAGTCACCAGTGTACACCACTGACTGGGATCCAACGCGAATCCAAAACATGGCCGCTCCAAGCACATGCCCAGCATAGTAAGCTTTAATCTCTAGTTCATTGTCTACCATCACAGACTGGTGTAGAGTTACAGCAGTTACTTTCTTTATACAATCCTTGATCATTTGAGATGTGAAGAAGTTAGATTCTCCTTTTCTCTCAACAGCTACTTTCCTCATGTCCTCCAGTAGTATTGGAGCAATAGCTTTTGTGGGATGTGTCATAAAGATGGGACCTGTGTAGCCAACCATTTCAGACATGTAAGGTAGAGCCCCGCAGTGGTCGAGGTGGAAGTGTGAGATGATGACACAGTCTATTTGGCTAGTGATAGGACCTTCAGGTACGATATATGAGAAGTCTGGGAAGCGCCTCTCATCATTGTAACCCATGTGCATTCCACAGTCCAACATAATGTTTTTGCCTCCCATGGACAGCAAAATGCAGCTACGGCCGACATCCTGGCCGGCTCCAAGAGGAGTAATCTTGATATCAGGCATGACGAAATGTTATCTTACCGTTGTGTTATGTACATCAGTAAGACGCAGTTGCTATTTATCTATGATTGTTATGTATTATTCACAATAAATGGTTATGAGTAATAATTTGCGCACGTTTTCGAATTATAACATATCAAGGCACAATCAATATACTTATTTATTGTAACAAAACTAATAACCTTGTGTAAAGTTGTATGATTATGATATATCACCAGTTCACTCCTATAATAAAATGTATGTATGTGCTCTATGCTATATTCATACAATGTATGACAGATAATATAAATTCTTTACAAATATGATATTACAAGTAATATTTGATACAGTCGGCACTTGGTAAACAAGTTTATGAGTTTTTGTCATTTTACATTTTTGAACGAATTACTGAATGCAAAAGACATAAATCATTCAATCATTTTATGACATTCATTGTATGGACTGTCATTAGTGTCAGTGTCACGAGGAGGATAAGAGGATGCATGGGAGGTTTTTGATGCGTGATGCTTCTATAATCCATTGTTTTCTTTTTTGGTTTGTCTGATAATGATCATAAATTATGTTCGTCTCAACTCTCACTAGAAGTAATTTATAAGAAAGTAATTAAATTAGTTATTAGATTACAAAATACTAATTAAATTATGATTTCCAAACGCCCTACAACCACACAAAAATCATATATTTATAATGGCAACTGCATTCTAATGTCAATGTATTAATTTCAAGTTGTCAGCTGTCGATGTCAAGTCAAACAAACGTCACTTATTTGTATTAGAAAATTGTAATTGATTTATCAATTCTTATTTTTGTTTAACAACGTTTTATCACACATTCCTAATTACAAGAAAGGTCCACCTATTACTTTCTTAAGCTTTATTCGTGGAATACTTCGTATGTTAGACAGTAACTTAGTAAGTATTAACGCCGACACTGCAAACGAACGTTATTGTACTGTATTAAAGTTCTTGTTGTGATAAGCTTATCATATTTCAGACAGCGTTGCTTACCGGCTCGTGGAGAACGGACGTGTTCCTCCTGTAAACATACATACGGCAAATCATTGTAACCATTTTAAGATAATCTCATAATATGTCTGGCGAAGGTTCAAGTTTAGTAAATGATAATAAGAGGGTGGCGTTGATTACCGGCATTACCGGCCAGGTATGTGACTGTTTACTTTTTTACAATTATTATTTTCCTCGGTGATGGCCAATACTCGCCACGTTACTCACTATAAATCGTGAGTTTATGGTTAATTTTACTCACTACAGTTTTATTATGTCTAAAGAGTTTTTATTGCTTATGTATAGTGGAATACGTTTTTGGATAATGTATACCAGTTTTATTATGCTTTGATACAAATTAACCAACTCAATTGTACATAATATGTTCTCTAAAGTTATTGCCAAGGGAATAATTATAATAAATAGTTTATATTCAACAGTTCATCACCTATTTGTGATATATTACTTAGATCCTGTTACTGGATACTGATAATACTAACATGTTAATTATATTATCTAATGACTGATTCACTGAATGATACAATTTTTACTATCAATATTAAATCCATATTCGTTTATCATTTTAGATCTAGTGTCTACAGTTTAAATTCATTATTGATATGTTAAAAAATTTGGTAATGTAACATTATGCATTTAAATATATAGAGGGGTGAATAGAGGTGCACAAAACTTGAGTATGAAATGTGGTACTGTATTATTTTTGAAATTAAAGGATCATCTATATGTAGTACCTTGTATCATAAGGATGCCTAGCTTCACAGACGGACAGACTATTATTTATTTCATATTTGTTGATGTTTCAAAAGTACCAAATTATGGTTTAATTGATATAAATGCTTTTGAGTTTGAAATACTCAACACAGCTGTGTAAAAATGTTTACTAAACTCTGAAAATATAGTAATAATGTTTTCTAGCAGTGGTGTAACTATAATGGTTTAAATCCAGATGCAAATTCATTGGATTTATCATAATTATTATTTATATCATCCGCATCATTGCTTACCACCAGGCTAGATAGTGGTCAAACGTCTCCCCATGAAATATAAAAGAAAAAAATATTCGCCGCCTCTCCCAATATAAAAATAGAAGTTCACATGAGAACCTCACAATAGATACAGCATGCCCATGGCATTTTACCGACTTGCAACCCGGTACTTGCAATGTTACAATGTATGGGTGGGCGTGAAATATTTTTAATAATTTATCAAACCAATTTTAAACAGAGCAGCAGTAGAGCTACACTATGTAACAGGGTAGTATCCTAAATTTTATATACACATACTTTTTCTTTTTTTCCAAAATTAAATACTTTCGATGATATATTGATTTGAAATATTGTGTGACGTCACAATTTACTACCTTTTATAAGGTAGCCTGGCGAAACAACCTCCCTTTCTCTAAGTACTAGCTTCTGCCCACGACTTCGTACGCGCAATCCCGTTTTCTCCCGTTCCCGTAGGATTTCCAGGATTTTTTCTATCTTAAGAACCTTTTCCTAATAATAACAAATACAACTAAAAAATACTTAGTGAAATCGGTCCAGCCATTCTCAAGTTATGGCGTGACAACGGGAAACGGGTTTCATTCATACGTCTTTTTTTTTATACAACAAAATAAACAAAATGTGTCTAATATTTTTTTTCGTTACTAACTGACGGATTCATTGCATTTTTAATTTTCATACATTCTCTACTATTGTATTGACATTCTAACGAGTAGTTTACTATGCAAACTCTTACATGGCTCATGGCATGGTTTACGATATTATTATGTGGACCTTTTATTCGATAACCAACGTTTGATTGTGTTATCTGACTTTCCTATATCCTATTTCAAAATATATCCGTTATATTTTAAGCACAGCGCGTTATACATTGTTACCACGCCATAACATACTTTTCCGTAAAGCGATAAGTGGAGATAACATTACGCCGCTTATTCCCTGAAGGGTCCGATAGAGGTAGGTGCACAAAATAAATGTCCTTTCGCCAGTTAAAAGTCTCATATTACAGAGGCTAGCTATTGCCATTCTGAACACCATTCCAAAATCCATACTGCTATATTTATTTTTGATGAAAAGACGTTCATCGAATCCGAGATGCTTAACACGTCGCGCTTGCAATCATGACCAATAACTTTAAGTAAATGAAATAAACTTATATGTCGTCACACCATCCAAATATTAGTTACCGAATTAAATAATTCAACAGTGGAGGTTCGCTACGTCAATATTAGATTAGGTTCCCAAAATATATTTGGTATATAAAAATGACATCATGCAAAATCGTAATCTTCCGGGAAAAAAAATCGTACCACATTTATTTCAAATATTTTTAAAAAAATCTTAGTCTTCTACTAGATAGACGGACTAGTTTTTGATGATCTTCCCTATTTTGCACTGTTGGTGCGATGGCTGGTCAACCAGCTGCCGCGCAACATGTCGCGCTATAGATTCCCGCACGGAACAACTCTTTGTGTGATCCACAAATTGTTATCATTACATCCTAGTTACATCCTAGTGTGGGGCAATGTTAACAAAAAATGTGTCGATACGAATAGAGTGTATTTTGCAAATAAACATGCATGCGTTCCCTATTCATGTGACACGACAAGTTTACAAATTGTGCGTTAGGGCTGACTGGCTGAGCCAACGTATTCAAAGTCTGTCATGTCGTGTTGTGTTTCATAACAATCGTTAATCGTAACAGAACGTAATTTCACGCCTGTGTCGCCCCACGCGGTGTAAATATTTAAGAACTGTCTAAATGTTTTCATTCATGCTATTCCGACTATACCAATTGGCATATTATACACAAAAAATGCAACCAGCTACCAAATACCGAGGGAAGGGCAGCATTATCACCTAAACTTTTAGGGGCACACTTTCTACCCTAACTGTAGAGGTTTTATTAAACACTTCTTCAAAACAATCTTGTTTAGCAGTGCACGTATTTCTACTGATACATGTTTATTTTTTTAATTCAGGATGGTTCGTATCTAGCGGAGTTTTTAATAGAGAAGGGCTATGAGGTGCACGGTATCCTCCGGCGGTCGTCCTCGTTCAACACGGGCCGGATACAGCACCTGTACGGCAAGCCGGCGTGCCATACCGGCGGCCGCATGCACTTACACTACGGAGACCTCACCGACACTACTTGTCTCATCAGTATTATTACTAAAGTAAGATAAACACAATTTATTTATAATAATTATTGCGGTTGTAAACCGTCGTCCCCTCCACTAGGCAACAACTGACGCGCAACACGATACGGTCATCAGCAGCTGTAGCCAAATTATATTTTGCGCTTGTCTACATGTAGAATAGAAAACCAAATTATATGGAATTGACGTAAATTTCGACACTTGTCAGTGTCATCCACATACATTTAGTTTTGTACTCTCTCTGTAGACAAGCGCTAAAGTAGTTTTTGGTTAAAGGCATAGGTTCTGCAACATTGCACAACGTCACGCAACGTCGCCGTCGTAGTGGTAGTTGTAGTTTTGTTGACAAACAACAATGTTCTGCAACATGCCGCGCGTCATATTTTGTCAATGTTTTAGTGTTATTCTCTATGAGAGGTGTCGGTGCGTACTTAGTTTGCACTAGTTTACGAAAAATTTTAGACGCTCACTGTTCTTCATTTGAAATGAAAGGTCCTCTTTAATTTTAGTAAAATACCACAAACTCGGCAGCTTAGTATACTTTTTAATTTCTAGTAACTTCACAAGTAATGTAATAGTGAATAGTGTTAACCCTATATTAATAGAGATACATTTTACTACAGAAAATGTTTTAGAACAATTTGAAACAAGGTTAAAACACAATAGGCTTTATTGCATGGCAATAAGTACTGTTGCATAACGCCTCCATGTACAAACAGAAGGCATACATATTCATTGCGCTGCTAAATTGGACTGCCTAGGTCCCTAGGTAATTTAATAGCCATTACTGAACCTGTGAACGAAAGTCTTATCTTATAAGACTTTCGTTCACAGGTTTGATTTGTTGGACCCTTATTGCGCTTCCTGGCATGGGGTTATTTCTGAGAACTGAGTAAATGTTAAAGCGTCATGCAAAATCTGTATTTGTTTTTTAGTTTAAGAATTATAGTAGACAGTATAATATGCGTTTACGTACATTGAGCTTATCCGTCTGTCTGCCTGTATAGTGAATTGATTACGTGTTACGTGATGTAAGGTTTTATGTAACGTGCCTAAAATGATGTTATACGTTTTGGCTGACTGCCATAATAAGGTCTATGCTTTTTACCAGGGCCGGATTTAGGGGGGGGGGGCAACCGGGGCGAAAGCCCCGGGGCCTCCACAATAGAGACTTCGGAAAAAAAAATCTTTCAAATTTCAACTAGTAAACCTAGTATCTATATACTCTAGTTCGATCGATAGTAGTATCGATCGTTTTCGAGCGTCCTCCATTGTTTTCGAGCGTCCTCAAAATCTATTGAGCGTCCTCGAAATCAATCGAGCGTCCTCGATCGTTTTCGAGCGTCCTCCATTGTTTTCGAGCGTTCTCGAAATCTATCGAGAGTCCTCGATCGTTTTCGAGCGTCCTCGAAATCAAGCGAGCGTCCTCGATCTCAATCTGGAAAATAATTTGGGGCAAGGGGGCCTCCACTCCTTTGTTGCCCCGAGGCCTCTGGACCCCTAAATCCGGCCCTGCTTTTTACCCAGCAACTTTCACGGGTGTCCTTAGAATATCTAGAAAGTATTTCATTGTCAATCCAACGTTTCCTTAAGCAAGAAACAAGGCAATGTTATTAAGATGGTCTAGATAGCCCAGTTTACAATGTGCAGTAAAGATTAGTTTGTAATCGTTAAGTGCACTTCATGTTGACGATTGCGGTAAAACCTTGTACTGGTATCGTCATGAACCTAAATACTGAAAGCCGAAAGATTATCCAGATCGATATTCTGACCGAGGTTATCCAGATGACCATTATCACTGGCACATTCTTTTGCCTCTGATATACACAACCAAAGTATAGGTATAATGAACTGTCCACATGCAATATTTCCCAAAGAATAACACTTCATCATCAACAGCCTATAAATGCCCACTGCTGAGCAAAGCCTCTTCTCACACGGAGAATGTTTGTAATCACCATGCCCGCTCAATGCGGGTTGGCGATTACAAACTTATAATAAGAAATTATAAGCATACAAGAATAACACTTGTCAATCTTAAAAATATCATCGTACTGTGCAAAACATAATTATGCATAAAAATTCGGAAACATATTTGTCTCCTCTTATGTACTTGATTGCCCTCCCTAACAGAAATCTAGTTTTAGGGCATTATTTTTTAGCAGTGTAGCCAAAAATTTCTTAATGAACCGTTTAACACTTCTAATAAACATAACATCACGTCTTTTGTCCCCGAAGGGGTAAGCAAGAGGTGTACAATATGCCACTGTACAATGTAACACCCACTTTTCGCTATTTATGTGATGAGTCCCATGTAATAGGGGGTGAGCCTATTGCCATATACCGGGCACAATTCCAGACTCCGTGCTATTACTGAGATTTTTTAAAAACCTTGTAGGTAATACTTTGTGGCAGTCGGACATGCGACCACTCGGCCAACGAGGCAGTATTAACGAACCGTTAAACACTTTTAATAACTTACAGATACGTCCAAGAGAGATTTATAACCTGGGAGCACAGTCCCATGTCAAAGTATCCTTTGAGCTAAGTGAGTACACGGCACAAGTGGATGCCCTCGGCACCCTGAGGTTGTTGGAGGCAGTGAGGGCGGCAGGCCTGGCGAAGGAGACCAGGATATACCAGGCATCTACCTCAGAATTGTATGGAAAGGTCATCGAAGTACCCCAAAATGAAAAGACTCCTTTCTATCCCAGATCACCTTATGGTAAGTTTTTGCACCTGCTTCTATACTTGGAGCAAGGTAACGGAGCCACGGTTTCTTTTTTTTTATTTCTAGATAAGTATTTTCTGATACACGTATTTTATTAATTGGTAACATATGTCGTATAAATGGCAATTTAGTTACCTTTAAAATGAGAGCATTTAGTTGTAAAAGTTAATTCTTTTGTAAAGTTATAAACATAAAGGGTTCGATAAATGAACAATAAACGCTAGATGGCTCAGTTGTTTTGCTCCTAAATGTATATCTATACATATAATAAAATCGTAGGAAAGTGAAAACTGTACATCGAATATTTTTTTAAAAGAATACTTTGGGCGTGATCTACAGTCAATACCGAAACCAAAAATATGTTTTTTACAATTTTGTCTGTTTGTCTGTATGTATGTCCGGGATGAACTCAAAAAGTGCTGTATCGATTTTTTTTCAAATTTTGCATGAATATTACTAACAGGTCGGGTTAACATATAGGCGCATATTATCATGCTATCAACTACGGGGGAGGGGCTGTGAATCACTATTCCACACGGTCGAAGTCGCGGGCTCAGCTACTTCTTTATAACTGGTGATATAATTGCGTGTTGTATTGTACCCACATGTCCTCCTCGAGGATCTAAATACGTAGCATTATGTGATATATTCAAAGTATCGGAGGTATATTAGAGAAATCGTAAAATAGTACCAATACCAATTAATGACACAATTGAAAGTACCTAATTAATGAGTTGTATAATTTAACATGCGGTTCGAAAGTAATGATTATTTATCAATTTTCTGCCTTACACCTGCTAATTGGGTTTATAGTAATTTTATTAAGTGGTCAGATAAAATAGTCGCGTACTTTTTTAAATTATCAGTGAATCAGAACGATTATATTATTGAGTCTACATAAGTTTACCGTTTACGGATATAAACAAGGAAGATAAAATTGATGTTATCAATTTTACTTTAAAATTATTTTGTAATTGATGCTATCGCATTATAATATGTATGTCGGTGTTAAGGCGATTGTAGTAAATCCTTTTCGCTTCAACTCTTTCTTTCCTTATTTTGATGTGTCCTAATTTGAGTCCTTTTTCAAGTTACATATGTATGGTATTTGCATATCCAAGCGTAGATTTATTAATCAGATTCCTAGCTGCCCCGCAAACTTCGTACCGTCTTAAATTTTTTCTCACCTTTTAAACCTTCCTTGAACTTCCTGAATTTTAAGACCAAAATTAGCCAAATCTGTTCAGCCATTCTCGAGTTTTAGCGAGACTAACGAACAGAAATAATTTTTATTTATATAGATAATTTCCTATCGATTTGAATGAGTTAATTTTACCATAGGGTCGTTTCCTATTAGACCGTACGCTTAGTCATTGCATAGAAGGCATTTTATAATACATTCTCATCTGCTTATTACCTCAAAATGCAGAATATTCTGTAGGTACGAAGAATTGTATCCGGTGTAAACAAACGCGTGCTATGACAATGGACCAATTAATGTTACTGGTGAAATTGGAACCACAAAGCAACAAGCTTCTATGTAGTTTCACTTCTATGTAGTCTTCTATGTAGTCTTTCAAAACATGGTATACAAACTATACACAGGTGTTATAGTTAATAGTTTTTTTCTATCTCCTGTCTGCGTTTTTGGGTGCGTTCCGTTTACAACCTTTATCTGTAATAATATAATAAAAAATGAATGTTAATTTAACTATACTTACCTAAGTTTTTAAGAGACTTGAGTTAAGTGCTTGCAGACCTGTAGGCAGACTCCGTCAATTTATTTGAGAATCTTTTCGTTTTTCGGTAGCGGATTTAGAGAAATTTTATTCGAATATGTCCCGATCCTGTGTGATAATCTCTTTCTGAAAAATAAACTTTACGATAGTGAAAGAATCTTTCAAATCGCTCCAGCAATTTCGGAGCCTATTTAATGCAAATAAACCAATATACATACCTCGTCTTATGAAAATCTCCATTTCTTTTAGCATGTGCAAAGCTCTACGGTTACTGGATAGTGGTGAACTACAGGGAAGCGTACGGCATGTTCGCCTGCAATGGCCTTCTCTTCAACCACGAAAGTCCAAGGAGAGGGGAAAACTTCGTGACGAGGAAGATCACGCGAGGAGTAGCCAAGATCACACTGGGACTGATGGAGTATTTAGAACTAGGTAACCTGGACAGCAAGAGAGATTGGGGACACGCCAAGGATTATATTGAGGTAGGTCTATTAACCTCTTATGGTCATATGAATCACAATAAAAAACACATTGTCTGTCACGTAGGTATAGGTACGTTCCGCGTATACCATGTGTTAAATATTTATCCGAACAAGATTTATTAATATCGGCAATGATGTTAGAAGTAAAAACGTGTAGATGGGTTACCTGAACAACAGTCGATCTTCAGAATCGGCACACAAACGCACACATGCATACGTTGAAAAAAGAAGCGATAGACACAATTTTAATACTAGAGGCAAAAATAAGTTAGCTATACCGCAATTCAGACTGTCTAAAGTACAGAAATCCTTTATGGGGTTAGGTATTAAATGCTATAATAAAATACCAAATAGCATACTAGATCTCAGTGAAAGTAAATTTAAAACATATATTAAGCGCGAATTATGTAATCAAGCCTACTACACACTGACAGATTATCTTGAAGATAAGAATGCTTGGCAGCATGTTGGTTCGGCTCCACTGGACAATACTCAAATGTAGTCAGTAGCTAAATTCCAATAGTAGGTATTTTAATACATAATTTAACACTTTAATTCTAATGTAGACAATCTAGTTTCCTTATGGCATCGAGCATTTCTTTATTGAAACAAAGAGTTTCCTTTTCTTGTATAGAAGCACTAATTCTATGGATTGTCAGTATGCATATGTGAGCACCATGTTGGACTTCAAGATTTTTTTATATTTTTTTTAATTTTAGTAAGTTATTAGTATAATTCGTCAAGCATGTCTTTGCATTGTTCTTACATATGCGTACAGTATTGAAATATGTATCAGAGACATTGTAGAACATACTTTTTTTAAAAAGAGTAACGAATGGAGTTTCTTACTCGTTCTTCTCCATTCGAATCTACTTTTTGGAATGAGCACCTAGCTTCATCTAGTTTCACTGACGGACTGACTGACAGACTATTTTTTTTTTTTTTTTTTTTTTTTTTTATAATTGATGGGGCGACGTTTGACCACTATCTCACCTGTTGGTAAGCGATGATGCGGTCTACGTTGGAGCACGTCGTCCCATAAGCAACCTATTCACTCGGGCCTTGAAGACTCCCAGGTTATACCCTTCAGGAAATACAGACTCTGGCAAAGAATTCCACTCTTTAGCAGTACGCACAAGGAAGCTTGAAGCAAAGCGCTTCGTGCGTGTGGGCGGAACATCTACCATGAATCGGTGACGCTTCGCGGATTGTCTTGTGGTACGATGATGGAAAGGACTAGGGGGAATCAAGTTGTGCAATTCCCCCGCACACTCCCCGAAATGTATCCGGTAGAAAACCGAAAGGCTTGCAACCTTACGCCTGTGTTCGAGGCTTTGAAGCCGAGCCTTCACAAGCGCATCATCGTCGATGAGCCTCCTGGCACGCCTCTCAATGTGCTCTAACGCGTCCAGCTGATATTTAGCCGAGCCGTCCCAAAGATGAGAGCAGTACTCCATACAGGACCGAACCTGTGCTTGGTACAGGCTCAGCAATTGTTTCGGCGTGAAGTACCGTCTCACCCTCCAAAGGACACCCAACTTCCTACCAGCCAGTTGCGCTTTTGACTCTATATAGGAGCCAAAGTTGAGCGTGGGCGTCAGAGTTACACCAAGAAGCTCAAGACGATCGGTTATCGGTACGGATACATTCCGGAAAGTAGGAGTCAGCGGAAATTGACTCCGTTTGGCGGAGAATAGACACGCCTGGGTCTTGCTAGCATTGAACCTAACCAAGTTGGCGTCACCCCAGTCGGACACCGCCTTCAAGGTCGAGTTCAAACGTTCGACCATGGATTCTCTTAAAGACTGGATCTGTGTTCCGCTAGTCCGCGCACCGGACACATACCTTTCAACAACTGTGCTGTCATCTGCATACCCAAAGATACCGGGCTTAAGCAGGTCGTTTATGTGCAGCAAAAAGAGCGTCGCTGAAAGTACTGACCCCTGAGGGACGCCGGCATTAATACCGAATTGGTCAGACGAGCAGCCATCGATGACTACTCGTATTGACCGATCCCTCAGAAAGTCTGCTATCCATCTGCACAGACCAGTAGGAAGTCCATATGCAGGAAGCTTGCCGATTAGACTGTCGTGCCATACCCTGTCAAAGGCCTTCGAAATATCGAGGGAGACTGCTAGTGCCTCTCCGTGCCCCTCTATGGCCTCGCTCCATATGTGAGTGGCATACGCAAGAAGGTCCCCAGTCGATCGGTTACGTCGAAACCCGTATTGCCGATCGCTGAGGAGATCGTTACCTTCAAGGTATGCCAGGAGTCTATTGTTAAGAACACGTTCCATGCTCTTGCAGAGTATGGACGTGACCGAAATAGGGCGGTAATTGTTAGGGTCGGCACGACTACCTTTTTTAGGCACAGGCTGTACGTTGGCCAGCTTCCAAGCAACCGGTACTAGACCCGTCTCCAAGGAAAGGCGAAACAGACGTGTCAAGATTGGAGACAACTCAGGCGCACAGGTTTTTAAAACCAGGGCTGGGATTCCGTCGGGACCACTGGCCTTGTTCACGTCCAGATCGCGTAGCGTCCTATATACCTCCCTCTGTCGAATGCGAATTTGCGACATATTCGTCTTGCATACGCTATTAACAGAAGGAGGCAAGGCGCCACCAGTGTCAAGACGCGAAGACTCCGCAAATAGAGAAGCAAATAGATTTGCTTTCTCTACCGCAGTGTGAGCCAGCGTCCCGTCAGACCTCAGGAGCGGAGGAAGTGAGGAGCGACAGAAGTTCGATTCAACCGCCTTGGCCAGGGACCAAAAAGCTTTACTTCCCGCTGGGTAGGAAGCTAGTTTGTTCCCTATACGGCCAATGTGGTTAAATCGAGCCATCCGTAATGCCTTTTTGCATGACTTGGCAGCCCGATTAAAGGCTCTCTTCTTTTGATGAATGTCATCAGCCCTACGGCGCCTGGCATCCGCCCATGCCAAGTATGCCGCCTGCTTTTGCGCTTCGGCACGTCCGCAGTCGGCATCGAACCAAGGACGGGTCCCACCAGAGGATGCCACGTCCGAGAATGGAATGTAGTATTCCATGCCCTGGCGCAGCACCCCCGTTACGGCTTCCGCACAAGCTGACGGGTCATCAGAAGAGAAGCAGACAGGCCGCCAAGGATAGGAAGCGAAAAAAGATCGCATCCCATCCCAGTCCGCTGACTTGTATCGCCACATCCGCCGAGGTCCTCTGGGACTCGGATCTGGTGGGGAGTGTGTCGATACAGATTTCACCAGACAGTGGTCAGAGCTACCTAGAGGTGATGAGACTGTCACCGAGTAGCGGTCTGGATCAGTTGTCAGCAGAAGGTCTAAGCAATTGGCAGTGTGCGTATCGACATCGGGCACCCTTGTGGCTTCCTGGACCAGCTGGGTCAGGCCAAGCGAAAGCGCAAGCTTACGCATTTCCCTTCCAGCATGGTCGGTGCACTGGTATGGGAATAACCACTCCTGATGATGAGCGTTAAAGTCCCCCAGTAACACCAACTGGGCCGAAGGGTACGCCTGACGAGCCGCATCCGCCGCTTCGCCGAGGTATTGCGCTAATCTGGTCGCCTCCAAATCTCCGCTGTGCGACCGATAGACACAGGCATAAAGAATTTTGTATTTGTTGACGTTTCAAAAGCACCAACCTATGGTTTAATTGAAATAAATGCTTTGACTTTGACTTTGACGGCGCAACTCTGAGATAAAACGTGGCCAAAAGTTACAATACTTAGATAAAATGGCCGTTAAGTTAGGAGTGGGAGTTCTAAACAAAATTATTCATTAAAACCTTAATTGATACCTAATATTAACCTGTTGATAATTTTGTGACTATTAAGTTATATCGTTTTGATAATAGTTTATAGAACCGACTTCTAACCCATCAGTGGGGTAACCTTTCAGTACTAATAGTAGTAGTTTTTTACTTTTTAGTATTACGGCGGTATTTTATTATACGGAAAAAACAAAAAAAATCTAACATAGTACCTCCTCCTTTATTTTAAAGTCGATAAAGATAGTAGTTTCCCTCGTGCCCCAGGCCATGTGGCTGATGCTGCAGCAGCAGGAGCCGGAGGACTTCGTGGTGGCGACGGGCGAGGCGCACAGCGTCCGCGAGTTCGTGGAGCGAGCCTTCCGCTGCGTCGGCCGCCGCGTGCTCTGGAGGGGCGCCGGCGACCAGGAGACTGGACACGACGCGGACACCGACCAGCTACTGGTCAAGATCAACCCCAAATACTTCAGGCCTACTGAAGTGGTGAGATATTATGGATATTATATTATTTTTAACGTTGCCCCACACAAGGGTTTTCTACTGTGTCATGGGTGCGTTTACAAACATACAAGTTCACATGACACCCAGAAAGCGTGCGGGAATCAAACCCGCTACACGTTGTACGGCAGCCAGTTGCCCTTATGATAAATGAACAATGTAAAAATGATTGGTTTTCCAATGGAACTGAAAGAATAAAGTTTTTAAATAGACTGCGATGAGTCTAATACTATTTAGAGAGTGCCTTAAGGCATTAAGTCCGCCATTCACTGTTATCTTTGGTGAAGAAGAAATAAATAAATAAATATTGTAAATGAAATAAATAAATAATATCTACAATAGGGTAGACGACTAATTTTTATTTTAATGTCCGTCTGATAGATTATTTAAAAACATTAGACACGTATTTTTTATTTTCTCACAGAAACGAATAGTTTCGAAGATATATTGATTTGAAATGTCGCGTGACGTCACTTCTCAGTACATTTTATACTAAGAAATGACGTTTTAGCCCCCACTCCTAAACTTTGATTCGTTTTATCTAAGTATTGTTTTATTATACGACAAAATAAAAAAATACGTGTCTAATATTTTTTCATTACCTAACTTACGGACTAATTATATTTTTAATTTTCATACCCTGTCATCATCCCCATTAGCTTTCTTACGAGACTTAAATATGACAAAGTATAAATGCGTAAAATTAAAAAATAATATTTAGGTGAAACCCATAAACAAAATAGTTAAAAAATACTTAACCTTGTTGGGTGATCCGCAAATTACGTATTCCATTCCAATAAAAAGTATGCAATAGTTACTATAATTACATAAAATCACTATTACTACAATAGTAATACTTAGTTCCAATAAACGATTTGATTTTGACAATACTAGATATTTTATTTCTTGTCTTATTTCAAACTGTAATAGTATAATGTATGTGATAAAAACAACTAGGTGAGTATTTGAATTAACTGATAAATAGTTGTCGGTTTTAGTGGCTGATAAACATTGTAATGATTAAAAGCACTCGGAAATTGTATAGGACAATGCACCCACTTCAGCTATTTGGATTATGAACATCGTTGCTTGACAATACGTTCATTCTATGTAACGAACCTACAGCTGATAAAATGTGGGGTATGGAATAAAGGACAAACAAGCAGACAGGTCATCTGATGGTAAGCAATCAGCGCCGGCCACCGACACCCCCACCGATACGGAGCCGCGGAGAACGTAAAAGGTTACCAGGGCTCCGGCTCGAAGTGCAGGAGTAGGAACGGGGTGGTTTTTAATCAGTAAGAGTCTAACACTTCCCTCCCAGCTCACCCAGACGGGAGAAGTTATTCGATGACTTTCAATTCAACCCTTTAAAAGAAAATCGGGCCTACCGTATTTTTGCTCACGTAATGGCGCTGGTATGAACCTCTCGTTCTTCGTCCAATAGGGAATCAGTGTCACACCATTGGACGTTCAATATTCGACAGCTGCTATGATTGGACAAAAAAATCCTCCCTACATTTACGTCTTCTGGCGAGCAGCGAAGCGTTAGCTCCTATTTTGGTGATAGACCTTTCCCAAATATAGGTTCTGCTTTTAACCACGTTACAATTTCACATATTGTTGTATTATAGGTAATTAATAATCAATGGTTTTTCCTTCCAGGACCTGCTTTTGGGTGACCCATCGAAAGCCAAAGAGAAGTTAGGCTGGACACCTAAAGTGAGCTTCGACCAGCTAGTTAAAGATATGGTGGAAGCCGACCTCGACCTCATGAAGAGAAACCCAGAGGCGTAGGTCATAACTGTCCTATATAACGCTATACAAAAATGAATTTTACTGGTATAAGAATAAGGTAAACAGTTGTTTAAGATACCGATATAGTCAAGTGTACTAAAGGTCTCTTTGGTCTTGAAGACTGCGAAATTTTCATTCTAAACTTAGACATACAATTACGTGTTTCTTGATAAATCCTAATATTTTGCCCTTCTAAGGCTTTATCTTGTCCTGAGTGTATTAACAAATACGCAGTGTTGATGTGAAATGATGATTTATTCGGAATTGAAGATTTTTGACTGGATAATAAGACATTTATTTAGTAAAGAAAAGTACTGAACACTGTACACGCCTGTATGATAATAGGCTCGCTCCCATTACGTAAGACTTAATATAAATGGCGAAACGTGAGTGTTACGTAATATGTGACTGCCTCTGTGGCCGAGTGGTCGCAAGTGCGACTGCCGGGCAAGGGGTATCGGGTTCGATTCCCGGGTCGACAAAAGTATTACTGAGTTTTAAAAAAATTCTTAGTAGTAGCACGGAGTCTGGAATCGTGCCCGGTATATGGCTATAGGCGCACCCCCTATTACATGGGACTCATAACATAAATAGTTAAAAGTGGGTGTTACATTGTACAGTGGCTAAGTGCCATAATATACACCTCTGCCTACCCCTTCGGGGATAAAAGCGTGATGTTATGTTACATAACATGTGCAACTCTGTCTACCTCTATTTTATATACTTATCACAATATGTATTACTCAATTAAATTCGGTATAGTTAGTTTCATCTGCCTAAAAATCCCAAAGTTATCACACAGGAAATGTGTGTACATACGTATGTATGCAAAAATTAATTAAATGTATGAAAAAAAAGCATTCAGCTACTAGTATCAAAACTATACAGAGTGTAAATGGAACGCTCCCAAAAAACGCCGACAGATTATGGAGAAAAATCAAGTTTAATTTTCATAAAAGTATGGAATAAAATGTTTCTTTTATGTAATAGTGACTGCACGGTTGGCGCGGTGGCTGGGCAACCGGCTGCCGTGCAACGTGTCGCGGGTGCGATTCTCGCACGGAACAACACTTTGTGTGATCCACAAATTGTTGTGCCGGGTCTGGGTCTCGTGTATGTGAACTTGTATATTTGTAAATGCACCCACGATACAGGAGAAAATCCTAGTGTGGGGCAACGTTTAAAAAAATAGTTTATTTATTTATTTTGAAGATGTTCATATACAACACCACAGCTTACGCCATTAAGTTATACTGTTAATTTTATATAAATGCTATTATTTAGGTACTTAAAAACAAACTAATTAGGTAATCAAATACAAGAAATAAAAATTAATACAATACAGAAACAAAATTAAAAAAAAACAAAACAAAAACTATACATTTGAATAACAAATTTGGTAATTGAGAGTAATTATACTACAGCTACGTATCATCCATCCTCTCACAAAATCTTAAATAATCAATCAACTGCTCAAGGCTGATTTTGCATGAATAACTCGAAATGAAAAGCGATTAAAATTGTAAAAATACTTTGTCAGCGTTTCAAAAGCGTTCCTTTTACAACACCCTTTCCCGAATACTGAAACGTTACTCAATTTTAAGTCGCGCTTAAGTATAGTTCTATCTCCACTAATTCTTTGTAAAATGACAGAGACAGCACGATATTTAAGCACGACTTAAAATTGACTAACGTTTCAGTATTCCGGCACCTGTATAGCCAAATGCTCAATGAAACAAAATTCCCATTAATTAGATACTTTAAAAAATGTATTAAATTGTATAAATATCAGTACAAGCGCAACTTCGTTCTCTTTCAGACGCGTAAGTAATTTCGAATTATCTATCAATCATTATCCCTACTAACTACAAAACTATATAAATAACTACACTTGAGGATAAACTAACGGAGCCACTAGCTATTTTTTTCTTTTCCTTTCGTGATAAATATTTTCTAATACAAGTATTTTATTAATTGGTAACTTAATAAAACAAAGTTTCTATCCGCCGTCTGTCTGTCCCTATGTATGCTTAGATCTTTACAACTACGCAACGGATTTTGATGCGGTTTTTTTATTACATAGTGATTTTTAAGGAAGGTTTATATGTATAATACATGCATATTGCACCCGTGCGAAGTTTGGGCGGGTCGCTAGTGTCGGATAAAAGGTAATGTAGTTACCTTTAAATTGAGAGCAATTTGTTGTAAAACGGAATACCTTTAGTATAGTCAAACCCTTTTGATGATATTAAAAAATGCAAATGGCTCCGTTGCTTTGGTCCCGAGTGTATATTAATCTAAACTAACCATGAATTATAAAAAACTAACTTGTGCCCGCGACTTCGTACGCGCAATCCCGTTTTCTCCCGTTCCCGTAGGATTTTCAGGATTTTCTGTCTTAATAACCTTCTCCTAATAATAACAAATACAACAAAAAAAGAATTAGTGAAATCCGCGTGATGCCGTGACCAAGGGAACAAGGGATTCATTTTTATATACATAGATAGGTCATAATATTATGTCTGTACAGAAAGTGTATCCAATAGGGTAGTAGACAGTGTATGAAAGTTAAACTGTCAAATACCAAGCGGTCACCGGTGACCGCGACCTATTGTTCTTTAATTGTGTCTATAAAACCGGTACTCGACGAGTTAAAAATGTAATGAGTTCGTCTGTTAGATAATGACAAAATATTAGACACATATTTTTTTATTTTGTCGTATAAGAAAACAATACTTAGATAAAACGGAGTTAAGTTTAGAAGTGGGAGGTCGCTACGTCACTCTCTCTATAAAATAAATCTTATAAAATAGTAAATCGTAAAATAGATATTAGAATCGTCATAGTAGAATTTCAAATCAATATATCGTCGAAAGTATACAATTTTATAAGAATTAAAAGAAAGAAAAATTTTTATAAAAAATACTTGTCTAATATTTTAAACAGAGTCTACCAGATGGACATTAAAATAAAATTTAGGATACTACCCTATTAAGCGCAGCCAATCCAAAGTTGATATATTTTCGGTCCTAAGTTATTTATGTCTAATACCGGTTGTATCACTTGAGAGCATAAACAAGTTTAAACGCACAAACATTTTAAAAAGAAAAAACTTAGTGGAATTTAGAACCTCCTCATTTTTTGAATTCAGTTAAACACAGACTCTCACTAACCATACTTACCCAAAAATTTCCATGGGCGACACCGATTGCTTACCATCAGGTGATCCGTCTTCTCATTTACCGGCTTATGCCATAAAAAAACAAATGTTCGATATATTTTGTGAAGTTTCAACAATTCTATTTTCTCTTCTATAAAATGTGTATGTATAAGTAGTGCAATTTTATATTATAACATATTATTATAGTATTTGTATATTCATAAGATAAGCAAGGTGTGAATGATAAAGTTACTCATAGACTTTAGAAGGCAAATCTACCTATAAGTAACGATATGATTTCCAACTTTTATGCCGTTTTAAAGGTGTTTTCACACTCTTGTGTCTACATATTTGCAAATGTTGATAAACATTTCATTTTAGTAACAAACCAAAAGCCTTTGTCAGTCCAATGCTGAACGATGAAGCTCTCATAAGAATGGTTTATCTCTCTAATCTCTACGTTTGGCAGACGGGTTGGAGATAATACATAGTTTAACGGTGCTTTTCAACCAAAGATGTGCTATGTAGCTTTGCTGCGAGGATGTAATAGCTAAGCTGTGAAACTATGTGACCGTTACCACTGATACTAAGCTATATAGCGGTGTGAGTAATATATGCTATGAAGATGCTGCAAAGAAGCTCTGTAAGAAAGTCGCGCAGCTCTAGCTATGAGATGTATCGATAGTAGGGAAACGGCGAGGGCGGCACGAATCCATAGCTGGTCTTTCCACATAAAAAATATATCTTAGTTGGAGTTGAATCCGTTTCCACTAGTCCTATAATTATGTACCGATCAATATGATTGGTGGATGCCAAACGCATTCACAGTATCGTAGCATAGCATATCGCTGGTGAAACAGCACCTTGAGAGATTTATATTTCCTAGAGATTCAGTTTTAAAGAGCAGTAGTGTGGAAACATCGCAAGTATTGTAAGATTTATGATTAATGTTAAATGCCTTAACAAATGCGTAAATGTAGTCATTGTTCGCACCATCGTAATGTTTTTATTGCATACGCCATAACATTTTCCATCACAATGAATGTTAATTATAGTTGTTGTAACCAATTAATTATTGTTAAGTGTGTTTCGTTTATAATTTTGTGTACTGTGTACTAATACTGAAATGCTACTTATAATTTTAAGTTTTTTAGGATTTATTAAGAGTAAGGATCTTTGTTTTGAGACGGTTATTATTGATTTTGTCGCGTGGTCAAAGGTAAATAGTAGCTTACCTATGTCAGGTTTCAACCTCTTATCTCCGTACACAAAAATATACTATAAAAATACATGCTTGTAAAAGATATGCAAACAGACTAATGCGTCTGCGATAATACGCAAATCGCGCCGCGCTGGCGTGGAAACAGCGTAAGACATTTCCCCATTTACAACAATAAGAAACATTGGCCCATTCATATCCTAAATTAATCACAAAAATTGACAAATCAAAGAGGGTTATTTAAAGTTGAGTTGCAGCGTTTGCATTAATAAAACTGTATATTATACTTTTTGTTTTTTTAAGAAATTATTATTCGTTAAGAAAATTATTTGTTCCGAAGAATTTAATGTTATAGTTCGGTATAGAATTATTGTCTATTTAAGTCTACTGGCATGCTTTTAGTCTTAGTTTCCAGTGAGATCGGTTATATATTTTGTTCCTGTTTTTATTTAGATATATTTGTATAGAATTAATAAGATTGAAAATCATGTAATGATAAAATAAAGTATGATTGCAGCCTTATATTTACTTGCAACATGTTGATACAGAAATGTTGCTAATTTTGTGTCTCACACTTGGTTTCGCTCGTAACTTGTTCAGCAACGCATAGCAACTTCTTCG